CATTGTCTCTTGGAGTTCCTTGGGCTAGGCCTGACATGATCAGCACCTTGAATTACACCCAGAAAAATACTGGCAGTCAGTGTAGCTCATGAAACCTTGGTGTCTATTGGCATACCAAGGCATGCCATCACTGCCTACTCCAGTGCATTCTGGACCAATTGAAGCTTCTGAGAGGTTTTCATGGGCAACCCAATATAGAGTGCATTGCAATAGTCAAGCCTTGAGTATGAAGGGCCTCCTGATCCAGGGAGGGATATAACTGCTGCACCAGATGGAGCTGTTTAAAGAACCCCTTGGTCACAGCTGCCACCTGCTCTTCAAGCAGGAAGTGTGAGTCCAAGACGACCCACAGAGTGCCCCTCATTCTTAAATGGGGTAGTGCTACCCCACTCAAGAGTATAGATGGAAAATCCTAAGGTCTAGGATTTTCAATGTAAATAGAAGGATAGTGTAAATATATTTTTCCACTCCCAGTCCCAGGAGAAGGAAATTAAATGGCTATGTAATCCTAGAAACATAGATATGAGCATTGAACACATGGCATAAGTTTTCAAAAATCTTTATTGGTGATACATAACAAACTACTACCCCTTCAAGACTGAAATCCTCAAGCCTAATTGCACCCATCCATCACCAGCACAATCACTATATCTGCTCAGAAATCATGAGGAGTGATTATATGCCAGGTTTCATACCATAGGGCTACCCTTTTAATGCAGTGCCTTGTCAGCAAACTGGTAGAGTCTGAAAGGAGTAATCAGGCCCAGGAAATATAAAATGGCTAAACTGAAAAGTTACTCTGTAGAGGTTGGGGAAGTTAAAGTTGTAAGTGTGCTGTAGTTGGGGCATGTCTTTATTTCTTGGAATCTCAATAAGTGATTGAATTTACCTCCTCTCTGTCTTGTGATGCTGGCATCTAATGGTGGAGTGTGCCCTGGCAAGACTGTGTAGGAAACAGGGATGGTAGGATAGGTTAGCTCATCACTTCCAACATCCTCAATTCAATCAATCCTATTCCAAGTTTTATTTTTTTAAATAAAAACATATTTATTTAAGGAATAAGGAATTTTTAAGGAAACCTGATTATGTATCTCCAAATCTAACTTTGAAACTTTTCCTTCTCAGATGTCCTTGCACAAAAATGGATTGCTATTCATTTGATTAGGCTTCTAAACAATATTATGAGAATCGCAGTTGAAATTTTTGATTAATTCTTATCCATACTTCATGTCAGGAAATGCTGAACAATGAAATGTTAAGAAAACAAATTCCTTTTTTAGTTTTGACAATTAAAGCTTTACACGTGCAAGACAACGGAATGATGTTTCAGTGGAAAGTACTGTTTGGTCTGTTATCAATGGATTCAGTGCCCATATTATGACCTCTATATACATTGTAGGCATCCTAGATAAAAATGCATTCTTTACTGTTCATCTCATTTTCTTGTGTTTAAAAATCATCCTTGGTTAGAGTACAATTAGGCTTTTGTCTTGCAAAATATAAGCTACCTATGTCTATATTTGACACACACACAGATAAGATAAACATTACGGTTTGGATGCAAACTCTGCCATTGATTAAATGAAATCATTGAAACTTAAGTTAGTTGTGAATTGCTTGTTCCATTGACACCAATAGCTTGACTCTATGTTTCATTAAGTATGGATAGGTCTATAACATTGCATTTCAAAAAACAGATGATTTTCACTTGGTGGACTTTTCCCACTGAAATATCACCATGTCAAACTCCCTCCCATCTTTTTAGAGTCCTCCCTTGGAAACAAAAATGCACATTTATAAGAGCAGAGAAACTGTGTCTACCATTCTCTAAGTGTATCTACACACACACACACACACACACACACACACACACAGATATACACACACACACACACACACATATATACTTATC